TGCACTACGCAAGCGTGTACATGTGTATATATATATACACACACACATATATATATATATATATACAAATACACACAAATTTAGATAGAAAAATGGGAATGTGTATACGTACTTGTAATTATACCTATCTATACATACATACATATATATATATAGACACACACACACACAATTGCACATATAGATGCATGTGTGCTTGTGCGGATATGCACTCAAAACAATGTCTTTCGTTACCTACCCGTGCACACATCATCCGGCACTGTACTACCTTCGGAGGCTTCGGACTCAGGCTTAACCACAATCATGAACACATGTCAGTACTAACTGCGCATTCCTGTTCCATGGCCACTTCTGAGTCTGCTCGAGAGATTTTAAACTGAAGAGTCAGGAAGGAACGAACTTCTGGTACGAACACTACAAAACAACATGCACACGTCGCCCACACACACACACACGGACAGAGAGACAGACAGACTGCCATGACCGACAGAGACAGACACAGACACACACACACACACATGCATGAGGATATGAGGACCCCGACAGAGGTGCTATATAATGTCAACAAGTCAATGGGCCAAATCCGGTCTCTTCAGGCGTCGAGGCCTCTGCCCGTGAGGTGAAGCCAACGCCGCTGGCTTAAAGGGATCACTTTTCGTTGGACTTTGTCTGCAAGGGCCCTGACTAAAGTTTGGTTTCTTCTTTTCGCGGTTTTCACACACTGCCGCTTGTGTACATGTGCAAGTTCGTCGTCTGCCAAGACTTGAAAGCCTCCGTAGCACTTCACACATGTCATGACCAGCCTTTCAGTCCGGTGCTGGATCCACCCAGAGAACCCCATACCCCTTAATTAAGGAATAGACCTTAAATTATAGGGGCCTTAACATGATGATTTAAGGTATATTCCTATATACCTTAAATATAGTTGCCTTAATATTATGATTTAAGGTATATCCCTTAATTCAGGGGTACTGGGCTCTCTGGGCATAAGAATTCTCACCATGTTGCGAGACCTCGGCTTCTCAGTTCGAACCGCAAGTTGGGCCCCAAGCCCTCTTGGACCCGCTGGGCCTTCGGATCTACGCCGTCCGTGCGTGTAGTTGTTTTAAAAACAGGGACCTGAATTTGGGGGCCCCTTATACTATCAGTATAATAATGAACCCCCAAAGTAGTACCAGTATTTATTTAGGCCCCTACATTAGTTGTGTTTGTCTGTGTGTGTGTGTGTGGGGGGGTGGGGTGGGTTGAACTGCCTTTTCGGCTCACCGGAAACAGTCCTTTTGCCGAGAAGCCCCTGACCCCTCCACTTCACCGTCTTCGGGTTTGGCGGTTGGCGTCCTCTGCACAGCATGCTCAGCATTACAACGTGATCTTACCGCACCCCTCCCGCCATAAGTGCTTCTTGGGGGTCACAAGTTTATAGTTGAGTGGCTACAGCTCCTTGGCCTATTATGGGCCTGCGGCTTGATGGTTCCGGAAGTTGGTAACACACCACGCCTTAGCCTGTTGTTAGGGCCTCTACTACCCTAAGCCCTTCATTTGCCCAAATCTAGGACATTTTCAGGTGGGTAGGTACCATTATAGGAGCCTTATAGAAAGTCTATATACCTTATAGAAGCCTTCTAGAAGTAAACTCCCCACCTGTAGTCTCGTTTCACCAAACACTAGAACTTCTAAGCCCTAAGCGACTTCAGATCCTCCTTCCAAGGCCTGGTGCTGCGACAGAGCAGAAATCGGACAACCCGACCCTCTTGCAGGCGGCCGGGGAAACCCTAAAACCCTAAAGCGTCTAACCCTAAACCCTAAGCCCTAAACCGTTACACCCTAAATCCTAAACCCTAAACCGTTACACCCTAAACCGTAAACGGTTACACCCTAAAAACCGGTACACCCTAAACCCTAAAGCGTTACACCCTAAACCCTAAACCGTTACACCCTAAACCCGAAGCCCTAAGCGGTTTGGGGGTTCGGGGCCGAAGTTTGGGGGGGACCTTTCTGTTGCGATGTCTTTCGGTTCCCAGTGTCAAGGACCTGTTCGATCTTTTGCTAAAGATATGTTGGGGTGCTCCTGGTGGTCAGGGGATGCTGGATTATTGGTTCATTGGTGTGGGCTTTTGGGATTATCGTTGTTCGCAGGATCTGATTTTCTTCGGGTTTCGCGGCTTGAAGTTTTTATGGACCCTAAACCCTAAACCCTAAACCCGAACTGTATTTTCTAGTTATAGGACGAAAGCACGTTGGATCAGGAACTTCAACATGACGGATGTTGCAGAGGTCTAGTTCTAGGAGTCTGTGACCGAGGGCATCGGAGTAGCCTTGAGTATGAGGCTTATATAGATTTAGGGTAGATTTAGGGTTCAGGGGTTATATATATATATATGTATGGATATGTATCAATATAAACATATATATATATGTTTATATATAATATAGATTTAGGGCATTTAGGGTGCAGGGGCACAACGACTGCCTCTCGATCGCCCGTGAGCCTAGAGCGAGCGCGAGTTCGATTTTGGTTGACGCACACAGACAGTCCCGGCCCTCCGAAGCCTGACATCCTCGCACTCACTTGGAGGCCCAGGGACTTAGTAATTTGGTTATAAGGAGGATAATAATTAGGGTAATTCCATTTAGGGTACTTATAACTCTACTTACAACCTACTTAATTACTAAGTCTCCTTGGGCCTCCAAGCAATCTCAAAACTCCAACCAACACCCTTTTTGAGGCTACATCCCCTAAACCAGGGTTTAGGGTTTAGGGTAGCCATTTTAAGGCTACATCCCCACACCGTAAACCAGGGTTTAGGGTTTAGGGTACCCATTTTAAGGCTACATCCCCAGACCATAAACCAGGGTTTAGGGTTTAGGGTACCCATTTTGAGGCTACCCCCAGACCGTAAACCCGGGCCCATTTAAAGGCTACATCCCCAGACCGTAAACCAGGGCTCCAGCGTGCCAAGCAGCTTCGGAAGCACCGGAGCATCACGTCTCCGTGAGCGTTTGCGCTGCAAGGTGCTTCTTGGCACTTTTCAGCTTGGGGCGTCGGGGTCAGCTCAGCACCTTAGCGCAGAAGGGCATGTAATGTAGGGGCCTAAACAATTACCTATATTATTTTGGGGTTCTTTACTATAATGTTAGTATAATGGGCCCCAAAACCCTAGTCAAATTGTTGTTGTTATTATAAGGCCCTTATATTACCCATCAGACTCGCCAGGCTAGATGTTACTGGGGCTTTGCAGGGGGTTCTGGGGAGGGATGCGTCCGACAGGCTCCCTGGCAGTCGAGTTCTTGCCAAAGAGTCGGCCGTACTCCCAAACCTCCCATCCCGGGCCTACCTCCCGGTGTACTTAAGCAAGAGAGCTGTAACCATACATACATATATATATATATATATCTTGGTCTTAGTGTATTTTAGTACATTATAACCCTAAACCCTAAACCAAAAACCCTAAACCCCAAACCTTAAACCCCCAAAAACTTCTAATGCACAGCCTCTATTAGTTGAAAGCCGAGCCCATGAAATCCCTGATGCACTCAGGATCGAGCGCCATCGCCAGCAGGCAGAGCAGGCCACGACTCCCTCCTCTCAGGACTGTTGGGTTTAGAGTTTAGGGTTTAGGGTTTGGGGTTAATGTAGGGGCCTCAATAATTACCTATTGCGGGGGTTTGCTTGTTAACATTAGAGTATAATGGGCCCCAAGACCCTATTCTAATTATTAAGGCCCCTATATATTGAGGGCTGAGGGCAGGAACTTAAAGAGTTTTTAGGCACGTCTGCGTACTTGTGCGAGTTTTCCCAGCAGTGCGCGACATTCAAGATCCTTGGAATGGGACGGGAGACTGTCAGGAACCGGTTAGCCGCAAGATTCGCAATAAATGGCCTGATCCATGTCATAGCAGTCGCAATGGCGACGATGGCAACAATTCGAGTGACAGTTAAAACTCGCAGCAGCCATCGCTTCTGAGATTTTGAACAACGCGCACTTGGCAATAATTATGGTGAATGCTAATTCATGGCAGCAAATGAAGACAGCAGGAGTGCATCGCAGCAGTAAGTTTTGAGTTTTACATTTTACTTAAAGCACAGCACACCGGGGAGGGGAGAGCAACTGCGCAAGAACGGATTCGCGTATGAGCATTGCTAGCAGGATTCACGTCAATGTTGCTATCAGGAGTGGTGCAAGTAGCAGCACCAGCACGAGAAACAGCAGCAGCAAGAGCAACATTGCAGCACTTGCAGCAACAGAAAAGCAGCTGCTGCAGCACTAACGACGAGGTCCAGCAGCATAATATAGGGGCCTGAACAACTACCTATACTGTATTTGGTTTTATCATAAGTATAGTAGAAAATACCCCCAAGCCCTATTCTAATTGTTAAGGCACCTATATTGAACTCTAGAATACTATAACTGAGCCCAAAACCTTGTTCTAATTATTAAGGCCCCTACATCAGCGACAATGATGCTTCCCATTGTCCGAAGCGCCACAGGAGAGCTCTGGCAATGGCCCGGATCTGGTGGAACCAGCTCCAAAGAAGGAGTCGGGGCTCATTACTATTATTATTGTGACCATTACTATTGTTGTTATAATAATAGTAATTACTGTTATCATACTATTTCGTACTTTGTATGACCTGTTGGTGTTACTATTATCAGCACTGTCATCATTATTCTTAGTACTAGGCCTCCAGTCACTTGGGTTTCCTGTTTTTGTCTTCGTGGTCAGCTTATCGGTTCGATGCCTTACCCTAAGGGTCCATGTACTCATATAGCATATACATGGGCCCTAAAGTACTCATATAGGGACTACATTAAGGCCAATGTATATACCATATGAGCACATGGACCCTTAGGGTTAGTTTTCTACTGGAACCCGGGTTGGTAAGGGATATGCACCCAGGGAGCCGCATACCCCTGAATCAAGGAATATGCCTTAAATCCATGATCTTAGGGCCCCCCATAATTTAAGGTATGTTCGTTAATTAAGGGGTATGGAGTTCTCTGGGCACGTGCAACCTTGGATGCGGACACACCCATACTTAGATGGCTGCTGTGCAACTACATGCCTAGATGCCACTGCAGGCATACCATGTACTGTAAGGGCTGAATAGGCTGAAGACGCCCAGCACGCTCTCAAGCTTGTGAACGCAAGCCAGCCCGCCCAACAACAGAGCAGAAATCCCTGAATGCGGAAGCTAAAACCATACTGAATCAGATGAAACTGCAAACCCAACCCTGAACCAGAATCCCGGTATGGGGGTTGCCGAAAATACGGGACCCTAATATAGTACCCTTATTGTAAGGACCCCAAAAAGGTAGCCCTTATTTTCGGAAACTCCCGATTTCAGGAGAAGAAGTCCAAGAACAAGAAGGCCCAGGCTCCTGTCGCCAAGAAAGAGCCCGAGGCACCCTCCCGTCTCTGAAGCGTTTTCAGGGTTTAGGGTTTAGGGTTTAGGGTTGAGGGTTTAGTTTTCAGGGTTCTGGGTTGTTTCAAGGCTGTGGGGGCTTAGCGGGTTCCTAGAACTTGGGGCTTACATGGGATTCTAGGGCTTATAGAGGTTATAGGGGTTGGGTTTCGGATTTGCTTTCAAGTAGGTAGTTGTCAAAATTATGGTCCCTTTTGGGATACCCTAAATAATAGGTGCCGTATTATAATAAGGACCCAAAAATAAAGGGACCATAATTTTGACAACCACCCAAGTGGAATCCCGACAGCATGGCGCAGGCGAAGCCGCAGGCAAAGCCGGAGGAAACAGCGCCATCGGCTCCAGCCGCTCCATCGCCTCCCGCTCCAGAAACTCCAGCAAGCCCAGCACCAGCTCCAGCGAATGAGCCTTGGCTGCCGTTCTTATCCACAGTCATTCTGGGCTCGGGGCAGTTACTACAGTCATTCTGGCCTCGGGGCAGTTACTGGTTGCATGGTACACCTTTTCTCGAACTCTGCTTGAATTGAAGGCTTTGCAGTAAGATTGATCTACGCTAAGCAGCACCGTACATCCGGACCCTGGAGTTCAAGAAGCATTCGGGGACCACTGGCAGTTGGAAATATGGGGGAACCTGGGATTGGTTTGCCACCCCCCCCCGCCGCACCCCGCACCACCACCCTTCAAACACACAGCAAATGCATGAGCCAAATAGTTGAATGCATGTATGTATGCATGCACGCGTGCATGCATGCATCTATCCATGTATGTATGTATGTATGTATGTATGTATGTATGTATGTACGTATGTATGTATGTACACGTAGAATTACATGTATAGGTATATGAATAATATGATATGTATATGGAAAAGGACATGCTTAGGCATATTTCGTTTTTATTTATGTGTACGTCTACCTGTACATATACATATTCACAGACATAGAAACATACCCATACATAGACATCAACACAGACATATAGATACATACATACATACATACATACATACATACATACATACATACATACAAACCACCCCTAGCCCCAGACGAATGGTTTCCCTGCGACCCAAATCCACAGACACCCCCCAGGGCACGCAGTCCCAAATCTTCGCTCCAAGGCCGAACTCCTGAATTTTGATGGCGTTTAGGGTTTAGGGAACCCCGCAGGTAACCAAGAGGCCTCATCGTCCCTAAAGGGTGGGCATGTAATTAGGGCTTCATAGAGTTGTCTTAGCACGTTCCACAGTTTCAGTCCGACGTTAACCCCCAAACCCTATACACCTCAAACCCCCACAAAGCCTCACCCTGCAAGTACAGGATGTGACCAGTGCCGAAGTGCCTCCGGTTGAGCGACCTGCCGCTGCGGAGAAGGATGCTCCCGTCAAGGTTGAGCAGGCAAGATATTACCCGAAGGGTCCATGTACCCAAATAGTATATACATTGGCCCTAAAGTACCTATATAGGGACTACTTTAAGGCCAAAGTATATACTATTTGGGTACATGGACCCTTAGGGTTAGACAAGAATCAGAGTCTAGCGCTCAGGGCATTGGGTTAGAGCCGTTGCATCGGGAAGAGCCGTAGTCTCGCCATTGCGCATTTTAGCGACCCACATGCCAGCAGAAAACGAAACATACCGCAAGAGAAGCTCATCCAAGGATCCCCAAGCGGACGGTGATGCTGGGAAGTAGTGTTGCAATGCAAGAATCGTCGTGGTGGTTATGCTGGGTGCTGGGGGCAGGCAACTTCAAAGAAGAGCAAGAACGCCAAGGCCAAGAAGGCGCCAATGCTTCAAAATCGGTGTGCGCGACGGAGGATTTCGTGTTTCGGGCTTTGGGGTTAAGGTTTAAGAGTATGGCTGTCAGGGTTTAGAGTCTAAGCTTTAGAGTTTAGACTTAGAGTTCATGGCTGTGGGATTCAGCCTGGAGGCTTCTGAAGAGAAGGGCTCCAACCGTGTGGTTTGGGGTGTGCAGGGTGTGCAGACCGTAGGTAGTAGGATCCTAGCTAACCATGAAGACTCCTAAACCCTAAACTCTATAAACCCTAAACCCTGACTCCTAAACCCTAAACCCTATAAACCCTAAACCCTGACTCCTAAACCCTATAAACTTAAACCCTGACTCCTTATCCTAAACCCGAAACGACTTTTTAGTAGGCCTGTGGATTGGGGTTTCTGCACTTTGGGGTTTCTGGCGACGCCAGAGCTTCACCCACATGTGCCACTTGATCTCCCGAGTTTTTAGGGCGAAAAGGGCTTTAGGGTGTAGGGGTTTAGAGCTTTACGGTTTTAGGGCTTAGGGTTTTAGGGCTTCCAATGCTAGCCAAACCAATCTTTGAATGGTCTAGACATTGCTTGTTACTGTTGCTGCTCCAGGGAGCGCACAGTTATGAATTTGCTTTTCCATCTATTGTTCAGCGGCAGTTCGAAGAAACGTCTAAAGCGACATGGCTCGCACTCCTTTTGTGACCCGCTTGCGGTCTCTAGCTCAAGGGGCCCCTGGTTTGTGCCATAGGGGCCGCGGGGTGACACTTTAGCTGCGACATCA